ACAATTTGGTTTTGTTTTCTTTCTTCTTGCATTTACATATGGAAAAAATTTGCCACATTTAATTTCACCTGAAAAACAGCCAAGCGGTCTATTTCTCCTTCTCATTAAGTGCAGACATTTTGTGCTCTTCATTTTACCAAACTATTTAATTACTGAAGAAACTTGAAATTACATAACATTGAAAGCATCATTCTGAATTGCAGCTTTATTTCAGAAAATGAGAACAAAACAATGCAATTCCTAATATTCTTATCCTAAAATACACTAGGCTAGTTCATATTGAGGAAGCAGATAGTCTTTGAACATTCCTGGTAAGTTATGATTTCCCTATGCTATGCCAAAAAGCTTTCTGCTTCACCACAAACATCTTTTGAGTTCTGTGTAGAAGTAGTAATACTGCATTCTTCTCAAGGTGAAGGAGGATGGTGAGAACCTCTGCTTCTGTAAGAATAATCCATGTAGAAATGAGTGGGGGAAGAGTGAGGTGGATACGTGTAAAGGTGCAACACATGCAAGTGAAACTCTGGTTGGTATCTGAGGGTAATAACACCTGTCCCAGTGATCTGAGCAAAGCTGATGTGCCAGAGCTCACTAGTATGTCTAAAAATAGGTTGGTTATTTTTGTGGGCTCCCTAAAGGTGCCTGAAAGTGACATGTTTCAGGTTCTGCTGCTCCAACTGCACACATTCTGGTGAGGAGAATGGTTTGCTCCCAGGGCACAAGTGGCTTCTGACCAGGGGTTTTCCTGAGAATTGCCCCATGGTTACAACTTCTAACCCAGTGCTTTCCTTCCTTCTTTGTTCCCTGGCACCTGAATGGAGATCAGAGTTTTAAGTTAGTTCTTGGGTACTCCTTGGCTGTCTTCTGTCCTGTGGGAACACTCCTTGCCTCCATTCTCCCTGACTTACTAGAACTGCATAACATTCCCTATACAAAACAAAACCAAAGCATCTTGCCTTTCCCTAGTGATGCTGTCACTTGAAAGCCCTAAATCAGAATTAGCATCTCTTCAAAGAGGCCCCCTGCCAAAAGGAAGATTTTGAGGCAGGAATAACTACTGGTTGAAGATTTCTGCCCAGTAAATCACATCAGCCTTCTCTCATTTCAGAATGTGTATTTGATGGATAAACCTTATTCTAAATGTACTGATAGTCTGAGAGTGACTATTCTTTCTATGTAGTAACATCTGCACATTGCTTTGCTATTAGTCTGCATAGTGTTTGCCAGCAACACAGCAGGGAAGTTCAAGCCTTTCTGGTGATGAATGTTTTACTGAAAAAGCCAAGGCACACATCCCAGAGCTCAAGGGTACTCTAACTGATTGGAAAGCCATTACAGAGCTCTGCTGTTTTCTTCAGTGCAGAGGCTGGGTTTGTTCATAATGGCACTGGCTGGCATAAATAGACCTGCACAGAGCAGTGAATTAATGGTGCTCTCCATGCAGTGAATGCTTGTTGCTATCGCAGACATGCTGATGTGTGGTACAGCCCCTTTTACTCTTCCACTATGCCCACATATCACCTTCACCAGTCTCTCTGGTAAGACAGTTTCATTTTTAAATTAAACCTCAGATTCTCCTCCATGTTTTGAGTTGGTTTTGCAGATGTGGAAATTAAGCAAAGCCTGATCAGACAGCTTCTTGCAATTGTATAAGAAGTCTGGAAGAGAAATAGAAGATGATCACAGTTCTGCTGAGTTCTCACTGTGCTGTTATCCTTGTGTACCCATGTCTTAACCACATTCTTTGGGAAGCTGACTGTGTTTCAAAGTTAAACACATCAGTGTCTTTCCACTGCCTGATTGCTGGTCATGCTGCTTTCCTGTTGTTCATTATTGAGTCTGGGGGAAAGGAGCTATAAATCAGAGAAGATTTGGCTGATGCTCCTGCTTTGTACAAGCAGTAAAGGTCCCAACCTCAGGTGAAGACTCCTGAAGCCGGGACTGGGGTTGGAGGCCACAGTGCCTGAACTGTGCTAGGGTCCTCTCAGATGCCCACAAACTGGTGTCCTTTGCAGTTTAATAACCGTCTGGTTGACAGAATTAATCTTGTAAGAGTGGTAAATACCTTGTCTCTAGCTAAGTATATGCAGCTTTTGGAACAGCATTAAAAACAAAGTACATATCTGGTTTTTTATTAATTGTTATGGTAACTGGTCTCTTCAGTCCCTAGTATAACACCAAGTTATGTAATGCTGATTCATCATATGATCCACTTTCTGAAGCATCAACTCTGCTTGTTTGCGTATATGAGGAAAGAGGAAGGAGTTTTACATCCTGCAATCCACCCCAGTTTCCTTGGTAGGTGTTATTACATTATCTACACCCCAATTCAGGCTAATAGCTTTTAGTTGCACTGAACTCCTAAACTAAGATCAGTTAGGACTAGAAATAGAAATTAAAATAGTTATATCACATATTACAGCTTGCACACACACACACATGCAGAAGGACACAAAGCAGTCAAGACTAGGGAATCTTCCATAATTAATTTCTACTTTTCATAGCTTTGCAGTAGTAATTCCTATCTGTGCAGAAAACTCATTGAGACAGAGAATTGAAAAGTAAGGAATAGTTCATCAAAAACTAAAGCAATGAGGAATGCCTGATATTTACAATGTTTGCAAAAATCAGGAGGAGAGGCAGACTGCTTTATGATAAATGGAGCCAGGACTTGCAAACAGGGTGCGGAGTACAAGGCTACCAGTGATAAGTGATAAATCCAAAACCCTAAACCAGCAAGAACTAATCTCAAGGTCTGGAATGTGCCCAAACAGCTAAGACGCATGGTCCAAAGAGAAAGTTAAAAAGTTCAAGTGCGATGAAGCGTTTGGAAGCCTTCATCAGAGACCACCGACGACCCCTGAATTGAGGAGGCGCAAGCGCAAGAGGATTTTTGGTTCATTTGAATACGAAGCGAGAGTAGGCAAGGCTAGGACATAAATATGTATTAGGTGTATTGTGTAATCCTAGTGTGATAAATGTGATTCGTGCTAATTAAATTGTAACTATATTAGCAAAATTGTATTTAGATCAATAGAAGATAATTGTTACCGAGTGAAAGGGGGGGAGATGGGTGAGACAGGACAAAAGACATCTTCCAGATGTTGGGAGTCGAAGAAGAAGGTTGGAAGAAAGTGAAATAAGAATAGTAGAAGGACGTAGGTCTGATAAGCAGCATCTAGAAATACAGCTTCAACCTTGAAATGGGCAAAAATGGAATGATTCCAAGCATGGGACTTAATTAGAGTCATGTTATGGAAAACATCTGCTCAGTCACACAGGGCGCCTGCGCTACCTGCAGGTCACACCTCGGTCACCGATGAAGATGATGAGCCTTCACCGGAAATAAGACCCTCAAAAGGATAAGAGACCCCCTAACCCATTAGTAGAGCACGCGCCGTGCAGTATAGTTACGTAGATTTTAGGAATAGAAACTAGGAGGAGCTTCCTAGAAACTTCTGTAGCCTACAGTATATAAGTGGGATTGTTAGCCCGAATGCTTTGGTACGAGAGGAAGGGCAGGCCCCTCCCCGTACCCCCGGTCGGTTTTGCTTATGCTTTATACGAACCTCAATTATACTAAAACACTTACTCTCAAATTTTATCCATCCCAAATTATACAACTTTAATACTTTACTTGGATTGTATTCAGTTTCAATAATTTTTGTAATCATCTTTAATACTTTTGATTCATTTATAATTGTTACTATTAAAAATTTGTTGTTACTTTTAATCTTTGTTGTTTGATTAATTGGAAAAATAGAAGACCATTCATAACACTAGGCTTTTAGGAAATAAATAGAGCAGTAGTTTGAAGTTTCAAGGTGCATGCTTTGGGAGGAATTATCCCCGTGCACCTCAGCGCTGAATAAGTGCATACCTACTTTATAACTCTCTACGGGTTATAGAGTTTTCCGCGTATCATCATGTCGCTACAGGTTAGTGTCCGCAAAGGAGACAGAGGAGTCCTGTGAAAGTACAGGCTTTCCCATCCATCTGCAACACATCTCTCTAATATGTAGCCCTCCTGTACAGCATACATGATCATTAAAATTAGCTTTAAGCCTGCCATGGGCAGAGAACGTAATATTCATACTCTGTTAAGTCGTTGTTTTTCTTTACAAAGTTCAGGAGTTTAGCACAACCTTGGCTGAGCAGCAGTCTGTGTCAGCTAGTAAAGCTTTCTAAAATTAATGAGTTCTCTCGTTATTTCCTTGTCTACAAATCTCTGGCCTTATCTACAAGCAGATTCACACAGTATGTTTGTAAAGACACATTCATCTGATATGATGACGCCTGTCATATCTGAATTCGGCTTTGCAAGTTCCTATCGTCTCATGGGAAACCGAGAAATCCCTGGCTATTGCCTAGTACTGCGCATGATCCTTAGCGACTGAGGCTGGAGAATGTATTTTGGAAACACCGAGGAAAGCTGTCAGCTCCTGTTAGGGAAGCACGGCCTTACAGCTGTCCTGTTGGAACAAACTTGGCTTTTCCACGCAGGAACGGGCTTATGTGCTGGCCGTGCGATGCGGCAAAGCAGTTTGCACCGGGTTTGGTGCGCTGCAGTGTTAAACTTCAATTTAGTACCCGGCTTCGTAAGAGCCTCATGTTTAAATGCCCTATTCACTGTATTTATTAGATTCCAGCCACTCAAAAAAGGTGTTTTAGTGAGTATATTAGCCGGCAAGTGGTCTCAGCAGCGTCCTTGCGAGCAGGACAGCCTGCCGAGGACGGCCCCGCTCGGATCCACGGCAGCTGCCGCCGCTCCCGCTGACTCGGGGATGGAGCTCAGCAAAGCTCACACGCGGGCTGACGACAGCGGAAGCCGGGCTGCAGGGCCGGGCCGGGCCGGCAGCCGGGCAGAGGCGGTGCCGCTCCGCCCGCGGCGCCCCGCGCTGTCCTGCCCAGCCCAGGACGTCCCGGCCCTGCCCAGCCCGGGACATCCCAGCCCTGCGCGCTCCTGCACGCGGGAGCAGCGAGGGAGCCGCGCCGGCCCGCTCCGCCAGCATGTCCGCCCGCTGCTGCGCCGGCCAGGTAGGGTCGGGGGCGCGGGCAGCGCGGCAGGTGTGCGGGCGGACATTCCCGGGCACGGCGCGGGGGGCCCGCCCGAGGGCTCCGCGGCTGGCGGGGAGCGGGGTCCGGGGAGCGGGGGCCGGCTGGGCAGGGCCCGGGGCGGTGGGCGCTGTCCGCGGGAGCGGGGGCCGGCTGGGCAGGGGCCGCGCCGTCCCTGCGCTGCCCCGCGGCTCGGCGGGCTCCGGGCCGGGCTGCGCGCCGCGCTCCCCGGGCCGTCGGCGCGGTAGAGGATAAGCAGCTCTCGCAGCGAGCGGGGATGCCTGTCCGGGCTCACGGTGGTGCCCACGGTGGTGTTGCTGCCAGTTTCCTGGGTGGATTCCTCTCGCCTTTCGGGAGAGAGGCTGGACGCAGGCTGTCCCTCGAGGTGCGTGCGGTCCGGCCGGAGCTCACCGGCGCCCGCAGTAGGGCGGCGGCATGAGAGGGCAGGCGCCGACATGGAGAGAGGCCTTCCCAAAGCCCTGAACGGCAAGGTGCAATTCCCAAAAGGGCAACAGACCCTTTAGAGCTGCGAGAGGCGGCTGGGTAGTAGCCACTGGCTGCAGGTGGTGGGGAGATGATATAAGAACTGGAATGGTTTTAACTAATCTCGTAGCCACTGGCTGCCTATCAGTCCTCAGACCCTTACACAAACTGCTTCAAATTCGGCTTGTGGAAGGTTTCGGCATATTCAGGTGCTGGCAGGGGAAGTGAGAGATGAGAGCGAGTGGTGATGGAGGACAGTGCAGGACCTACCCTGTTCAGTATCCATGGGGTGGGGATTCAGTACTCCTCATCTTACAATGGTGCACCTGTTTTCCTATTTAAATCAATTCCATAGATGAAGATCATGACTTGGAGGAGATAGGCAGTAGTGGGGCCCTTTCCAGATCTTCTCCTTGGTCGCACTGAAGGGAAGGACTCCTCTTCCTAATAGTTGTCTCTCTGATGTGATGTTAGTCATCTTCTCCAGGCGCTTTATTTTTGTGCTTTGTTTTCACTAATCTCTGTTTCTGCAGTAGAAACCGTTTACTACTTTTGTCTGCAACAGACTAGCCAGCGAGCTTATTCCTATTGTTTTACATATTTAAACACCTTATGGTCCTAATTCTATTGATATTTCTTTTCCTTTGCTCACTCTGCCCACTCTTAGAATATAATTATTCTCTTGCTCTTGTGTGATTTTTCCTGGGAAAAATCTTACATCTTTCCTGTAGTTTGAAATCCTGGGCTAGATTGGATCTTTTGTCTGTGGTTCTTTCAATCTTCAGTAGGACAGGAGGGTTACTGAGCATGCATCCACTTGCTTACCCTCTGGGAGCTGCCCTGAGCCTCTCCACAGAGTCCTGTGGACCTGGGGGACAGCAGTAACTACATTTGCTAATATTCTTCTTAATGCGGGCCTTCTTGACTGCTGCTTCATAACCATTTTGGCAGCTTGTGAAACGCGTTGTGGAGCAGCTCAAAGTGCAGTTAGTAGGTGCTGTTACTACAGTGGTTCGTGGCTTTTTGCATTTTCGTTGTGCTTTTTTTTGGTGTAGCTCCTGGAGAAGTAACTAAAATTACCAAGAGGATGAAGCTGTTGTGATGGTCAGTGGTGAATGGCTTTAGCATGCACAACCTTTGAGAGATTCTTAAAGCCTCTGTCCCTACCCCACGTAGTAATCCTTGACAGTAATGTGTTTCATTGTCACTTTGGAGTCTGTAAATAAAATGAACTCCTTAGTGTTGTTGAAGATGGAAGTGGAAGCTTTAAGGTGGATGTAATCATAGTGCCAGAAATCCCTAGGGAGATTTATTCTGCTGACTCAAGGACTACTTTTGATGTAAGACTAATCTATGCTAGATATGACATACTGCTGGAGTTATACCAGCAAACATAGTGAGGATAACCTTTTTATAGGCTAAGATAATAAACAGCATAAACCATATTTCAATAGGATGCAGTGTCATATTTTTAAAATGGAAAATGGTCTTTGCCTTTTTTACTTGATTTATTCCAACCTCGATGAGGGCATGTTTGTATAACATGATTAATACACAAGAAAAATAAAAGGGATAGAAGTTCTTCATTCTGTCTCATCCAAGCTTCCTCAGGCATTTTGTGGGTACTGTTAATCAAGCTGAAAAATCAAGAAGGAATTTGGCCTTTCCTTCAATATTTCCTTGAAGACGAAGTTAACCCTGTTCAGAAAGAGAGATTAAGTGCTTGAGGAAAGATGAAACTTTTATAAGAGTTGTACAAAACAACTCTCATGTTAGGTGCTTGATTTTTTCCTAAAATACAGTATTTTAATGTGCTTGATGTCCTGTAGCCTGAGGATTTTTTGTGGCAAGTATTTTTGCCTTGTTTATGTCTTATGCATGCCTCTGTCTGTGGATCTGCTTTCCTCGAACTGACAGAGGACTTTGGTATTGTCTTTCTGAGCTATTTAAGTCCAATTGTTGTTTGTGTCTAATTGCGGTTTGTCTGTAGCTGATACCAAAATTTTGTTGTGAGTAACACGACAATTAATTTTCACTCAAAAAAATTTTCGTGGTATGAAGTAGATGATGAATGATTGGTAGTTTTTTTTGAGTCAAACCATGCTAGACGTCTAGTTGATGGTGCCTGTCAGAATGAATGCATTCAGGTTTTGCAGCCCGGATTCCTGTTGTTACAGGATACAGCGGCAAGCTGCCAGACTTCAGTGTACTTCGGTTATGCTGATTTTGCATTTGCAAAATTATTTAGAATTATCTTAATGGACAGTACTGTGTGACTTGCATCCTTGCCAAGTAGACTCTAGAAACTTTCTTTGAAGGAATTTGGCCATTTATAAACTTTAATTTCTGCATTTGTTTTTTACTGGGCAATGTACAACCTTACTTTGAAGACAATTGTGATATTTAGGTTTCTGAGCTGTAATAAGCTTGCTAAATGTTTCTTTTGCTCATGTCTCATTGATAGACCTATTTTGAGAATGCATTGAGAATACAGTTTGGCTTGGGCCTCAGCAGTGCTTTTGATTACATAAAAACTCTGCTTAAACTGACAGGAAACAGGATTTTATATTTGGCTTTTCTTCAGTAGTGATTATCAAGAGAATAAAGTTGAGATCATGGTTAAAGAAAGCAGCTGTTGCAGAAAATCTTTATTACAATGAATATGTTTCTTCCAGAGTTAAATAAATGTAATTTAGATCTTTAACATTCATTTTGGGTGGACAGTATGTTGTTGCTGGGTTGTTCAAGAAGATGAATTTTTCAGTTAGAACTGGTAGCTTTTAAAGCTTATGAAGCTCTTTTTGTAGGTCTGTTAAATCTTGAGAGGTGTCCTTAATAGTATTCTGCACTTAGAAATCATGTCATGCAGTAAATATAAGATCTTCCACAAGTTAGAGTATCAGGTTTTGATTTTCTACCCAGAATTCTAATTTCGATGGGGTTTTTTTAAAGAAAAAAAGGGATAAAATAGTGCTCCTATATTTTTAAGGTTGACCTTGGCCCATCTTTTGACTTCTGTGACTCATAGCTTTTGGGGAAGGAGGAAGATCCCCGTGCACTCCAGGACTGCCTGCCTCTCTGGCGCTGCCTGTTTGCACCTGAAGGTTGAGAAGGGGGCTTGCAGTCCTGTCCCCACAGTCTCCTCTTTTCAGCCGGTGGTGAAAAGGGTGGTTCTGTCACCCTCACCCAGACATGTGTCCTCTGAGGTCACTGGAGCATTGCGGGATGTATGTGTAGTGTGATGTAACACGGTGTTGTGGGATGATGTCAGTGGTGCTCCTGGCTTCACTCTACACAGTGCTCCCAAAAATACCATCTCTTGCTCTGCAAATGGTCTTCCTAGTGAGAGGGGTTTGTTTAGTGTGTTTGAGCTGAGCATTTAGCTGAGGATATTTCCACACCTCTGCCACTGCTATTATTAATTGTGATAGAAGGTGAAACTGGCTCTCTGAGGTCAGATGTAGAATATTGTAGTGTACTCCAATACGTTAGGAAGAAAGGGTGGTGAAGGACTATTTTTCCTGTTTGCAGAAACATGGAGTTTTTGCCTTAAATAAATCGTTTCCTGAATAATTGAATTAGCAAAGCCTAATTTACTGCAGCTTTGTCCATTGAGGTTGGCATCTCATGCTGATTCCCTTTCTGATAAATACGAAGTTGTGTTGCAACCTTTTTCTTGCTTAGGGATTGAGAGATCATTTTTTCTCCACTAAAACTTTTGCCTATTTTCAAGGAAACTTTAAAAACTTACCTTTGAGGTTCCATCTGACTGCCACATTGGGATAAAATTTACTACTGGATTCAAAAGTGATCAAAAAGGGAAGGAAAAGTGATGAAAAGATGGGAGATCCTGTAAGTGTTGCATCATTTGCACTGAATTTTTAGGTTGGAATCCTTTCCTTGTCACTGCATAAGAAGGAGAAGACAGTCTTTCTCATGCCTGCCTGATTTCCAATTGCTTTCTAGTTTTTTAGATCTTTTTGTCTTGCATCCTATGAGTTGGTTGTATTGTGGATTTAAAGAAACGCCTTAAATACCCATAGCTCTGGAGCTGTGGAATGAACACTGTATAAGAGCAGAGTCTTCACTTTTAAGGGCAAGGGAGTATTTTTCTGCCCAAGGATCTAAATACTACTGCTGGTTTTATTTTAGTTTTTGCAAGTGTGGCTGTTCCAGAATATGTTTTTGCCATTACTGGGGCTTTATTCCAATGGAAACATTCGCAGTTGTGGGTACAAGACGTACTTAATTCAGAGAGAAAAGCCTGAGCTGTGACTATGGTAGAAGGTGAAGGTCTCGTTGAACTAGTGACTGCTCTCATCCCAAACATAGTGTTCTCCAGTTATCCATGTGAAGATGCTTAGACCTTAGGTTGCTTCCTGTGTCCTTCTCAAGGACCCCAGTCAATGGTGCTTCCATTTCTTTGTCAACTGTGCAGGCCCTGATAGGTATTAGCATTTTAAATGCTTGGCTTCCAGGATATTTCGGCTGCAGCTGAC